GATCTTAACTCTTATCAAAAAAGGGAAACATTCCCTTCTCTGAGCAGAGTGGCAAAAGGCAAAAGCTTAGTAAATCCTGGGAAAACCTAACAGCACGAATTACCTCTACTGTCCGCTGTAACTCCACTTCTAGGTGGGGAAATGGTCACCTAGATGTCCATTCCCCTTTCCACAGAAAGGGGCTGGTCCCTTCCCCTTCATACTTAAATCCAAATTGTTCACCCCAAAACCGGCCCTTGACTTATACACAAGGTTGACTTACACATGGTATATATGGTAAACTTCCCAACCAGAAACACTCCTCTGACCATGCCAAATGGGGTGGGAGGCAGTTGAAGTCTAACACACTGAAATGAGACCAAGTTATGGTGTGTTGAAACATTTTACCAGTTTAATTTGGGCTCTAAGTCTTCTTATGTGAAAAAGTCATGAATGCTTGCTAAACATGGACAGTTGGAGGGAGAGGGCAGGCATTCACTAGTTTGCATATTTTAGGAAATAATCAGAATAAGGAAATAAAAGTGTAAGGTAGCTATTGAATATATTGATTTGTTCAACACTTGCAATTTCTTCAATGGTATGGGAAGTTAATTTCACATATTCAAGACATTACTGAACTGTGACATCTACTATCCTCCATTCGTTAGGTTACTTAGGGTTGATTGGAATTGTAGCACATTGCTTGGCTTCCCCCACGCTACAATTCCCCCACACTACAATATCCAATTAATATGTAAGAACTGGGGGCTTGCCATTTACTAATTCCTGCACAACACCTTGATTCGTGGAGTGAGTCAATGGGAAAGATAACATTTTGGCATGGGTCTTGCACCCTTATCCCAAGCGAATGAGGACGTCTGACTGTAGTTGCATTTATATCATACTTGTCCTTCAATGGTGCAGATGGCTCTATTCCTTCCCATCCTACCCTCACAACAAAAACTCTGTAAGTCATGCTGAAAAATGAGTGACTATCCTGATGTCAACCAATAGGTTTTGGTGGCTCCATGGGGAACCTGAAATTGGGTCTTCCGAATCCTAGTCACATACTCCATAATGTTTGTTTACTTGTACATTACCCTACTCATCCACCTCACCCAGGGTTTTAAAATCCTAATATAAGTTTGATATTTGTACTTGGCCCTGCCAACTCGGCTCAATTTTTTGTTATTTATGTTATATTCTGCGTTTATTTTGTATTATTTTCTTTTGATATATGTTATGGTATTTTATTTGATGTATTATTGTATGATTGTATGTTTGTATTCATTTTGCCTTGTTGTAATTGTTGGGTTTGACCTCATGTTAACCTCCTGAGTCACCTTGGGAAGATGGTGGCAGGGTATAACGTATTATTATTATTATTATTATTATTATTATATTATTATTATTATTATTATTATTATTATTTTGACACAAAAACACAGAATGTCACAGCAAACGAGATCTATATGCTGGATTTCGTATCAGTAAAATATTATTATTATTATTATTATTATTATTATTATTATTAAGGTCACCTATTGAGTTCATGAGAGAATCAATAGAAATTTCTTCAGCCATTGCTTGACTTCCTCTACACTACAGTATAGTACATCCAATTAGTGTGTAAGAATTGCTTCATGAGTAATTCTAGTGAAGCTCTTGAATATGTGAACATGGTAAGCCAGAGCTTTCACTACCTATCCTGTCCTCATAAGGTAAACTTTGTGAGGTTGAAAAACAGGGGATGCCTGCACCTTGGTATTGACAGGAGAAAGATTCATCTGCCTCTGGCCACATGGAGCATTAACATCAGGCATAACCCCACATAGAAGGAGACCAACACACAGACAAAACATATAGAAGGGCTGCACAAGGGGCTCAAAGTACACAACAACCCTACATTTTGCTTCCAGTTTAGAATCATGCAAGAAGTATGGGTGGGGTTGAAAATGACAAGTGCCTGTGGACAAATGAGTAGCATATAGTCGAGGCCTTGTGTGCACTAAGAGTTCCACTCATATTGGGAGTCTTTTTCTAAGAGAACTCCAACCCTAGCAAAAAGAAATTCCTCTATATGTCTAAATATGATTTCTGTTTTTAAATGGCAGAGGTTAAATAGAAAAAAGACAGTGAAAAACTAAGTTATTGTTTGAAAGCTGCGTTTTGAACCTTAAAACTACCTGACTAGGTACATTAGTTCAAGTGATAACCTGGATTTCTCACATTCAAACCCAGTATTTCAGGCTGCCATGGCTCAATGCTACAGGATCCTGGCATTTGTAGTTTGGTGAAGCACAGCAATCTTTGACATATAAAGTGGCATCAAAGTGCATTAATTCTACAGTATAGAGGCATGTTTAGTCACTGCCTTCACATAGTTAAGTAAGAACAAGACTCTTGTGCTTGATAGGTAATATAAGTTTGATATTTAAATGATGATAAATTACATATTATAATAACGGCGCTCCATGCAGTCATGCCGGCCACATGACCTTGGAGGTGTCTACGGACAACGCTGGCTCTTCGTCTTAGAAATGGGGATGAGCACCACAACCCAGAGTCAGACATGACTGGACTTAATGTCAGGGGACTACCTTTACCTTTACCTAATATAGATAGGTTTGCTTAGCCTACAGAAGCCCCAAGAATGCCTCAGAACATCAGATGACTAGTTTTAAAACCATTCAAATAAATTCAAGTCCTTTCTGGATTGACAATCTTAAGTCTGATTTTGACAAGCAAGAGTTAGTTGGCAGAAGATGGACTGAGCGACATATTGGTTATAGATTATTTTCCTTGTTCTTAAACTCTAAATATAGCTGAAAAAAATTGCCTATCTTCTAAGATGGGCCTTCTGTAGGATTTCATAGAGTGCTACCAAAATTGATGCTGCTCACATGGAGCTGAAAACTAAGGCCCCTTCTACACTGCTTTATAATCCAGATTAACTGCTTTGAACTGGATTATATGAGTCTTCACTGCCATATAATCCAGTTCAAAGCACATAATCTGGATTTTATATGGCCGAACTCCTCAGTCTGATCAGTTGTCAACAAGTACAGACAGAAATATATCGACTGTTTTAAACACATCTGTGACTTTCTAATTTCACAAAGCCCCATCAACACTGCGATTTGAAACTGCTTTATATAGTCTGTGTAGATCAGGGATCCTCAAACTTTTCAAATAGGGGGCCAGGTCAAAGCCCCTCAAACTATTGGAGGGCCAGATTATAATTTGAAAAAAAAATATGAATTTCTATGCACACTGTACATATCTTATTTGTACTGCAAAAAACACTTTAAAACAATACAATAATTAAAATGAAGAACAATTTTAACAAATATAAATCAGTTCTTGTGGGTTTTTTCGGGCTATATGGCCATGTTCTAGAGGCATTTCTCCTGACGTTTCGCCTGCATCTATGGCAAGCATCCTCAGAGGTGAGGTCTGCTGGAGCTGGGAAAAAAGGGGTTTATATATCTGTGGAAAGACCAGGGTGAGATAAAAGGCTTTTTTTTCCCAGCTCCAACAGACCTCACTCTGAGGATGCTTGCCATAGATGCAGGCGAAACGTCAGGAGAAATGCCTCTAGAACATGGCCCTATAGCCCGAAAAAACCCACAAGAACCTAGTGATTCCAGCCATGAAAGCCTTCGACAATACATTAAATATAAAATTATTAGTATTTCAATGGGAAGTGTGGGCTCCTTTTGGCTGATGAGATAGGATTGTTGTTGTTATGTGCTTTCAAGTCGTTTCAGACGTAGGTTGATCCTGAGTGAGGGCCAGGTAAATGACCTTGGAAGGCTGTATCCGGCCCCCGGGCCTTAGTTTGAGGACCCCTGGTGTAGATCATAGAATCATAGAATCTAAGAGTTGGAAGAGACCTCATGGGCCATCCAGTCCAACCCCCTGCCAAGAAGCAGGAACATCACATTCAAATAACCCCCGACAGATGGCCATCCAGCCTCTGTTTAAAAGCTTCCAAAGAAGGAGCCTCCACCACACTCTGGGGCAGAGAGTTCCACTGCTGAACGGCTCTCACAGTCAGGAAGTTCTTCCTCATGTTCAGATGGAATCTCTTCTCTTGTAGTTTGAAGCCATTGTTCCATGTCCTAGTCTCCAGGGAAGCAGAAAACAAGCTTGCTCCCTCCTCCCTGTGGCTTCCTCTCACATATTTATACATGGCTATCATATCCCCTCTCAGCCTTCTCTTCTTCAGGCTAAACATGCCCAGCTCCTTAAGCCGCTCCTCATAGGGCTTGTTCTCCAGACCTTTTATCATTTTAGTCGCTCTCCTCTGGACACATTCCAGCTTGTCAATATCTCTCTTCAATTGTGGGGCCCAGAATTGGACACAATATTCCAGGTGTGGTCTAACCAAAGCGGAATAGAGGGGTAGCATTATACTTTCTTTCCAGGAGTGCAATTTGAGAAGGGAATTATGTGAACAACCCTGGGGTTTATCAAGCAGTAAGAAATCAGTAGTAATATTCCAGACAGTAATACGTTAGAGTGAGTGAGTTCACATTATAAAGGAATGGAACTAAAGCTGGATCCACACTGACATATAATGCAATTTGAACTATAGTTCCAAACTGCATTACTCAACAGTGTGGATCTAGCCTAAAGCTTCCAAAAAGCAGCCTTCTTTTTCACCTGATCCCTGTCCTCCAGGAACAGTCATCTCCATTCATGTCTATCCATTATTTGAAAACAAAAATATGTCCTCAAATGTACCAATGCGAAAAGACCTTTCGAAGCCTGTCACATGCAAAGCCGTGCCTATGCAATTGCTTCACAAAGGTGACAGGCAACCCAAGTGCAGGAGAGAAATGCCTCCTTCCTATCCACAAGGCACCCCCCCCCCCTTGGGATGACTTCAGCCAGGCCACCTGGATGGCCACCTGGATTGTCCTCCAAATCCCAAGCACCTCTGGGCACCCTCCCTTGTGCCAGCTTGCCCTTTAATGCTCACACACACCAACCAACCAGGCAGAAGCACTTGTTACCTTTGGCCGAGCGTAGGCTGGCTGGCTGGGAGCTGCTGCTCAGGGCTGCCTCTCTTTCTCGGTGGGACTCCTGTCCTAGAGGGTGCTGCTGTAAATATGTCTTTGTCACATGCTTTCAATGCTGGGCTCCCATCCTCTCTCTCCTTTAGCCTAAGGGGAGCCAGAACAAACCACCTAATCGGTACACAGAGATCACATGGCCCGATTAGGGCTTGTCTCAGAGTTAACTTCCTGGGGAGTTTTCCTGCAGCAGCAGCAGCAACAGAAGCAAAAGCAGCAAAGGAAGAGCAATGCTGCCTGGCTGCTCCTAAAGCCCCCTTCCCAGCAGTCACCCAGGACCACTCTTCTTCCCAGAAGAAAGAAGTCTTTTGTCAAGCTTGCAAAGGCAATTTGTGTCATGGAAAGGAGGGAGTTGGTTTGTGTGTACTGGAAAAGCTGTTCTTTTCTAATTAGAAGGATAACTTGAAAGACTCATGAATGGCAAGCGGGGAATTGTGGATTTGGAAGAGACCCCCAGGGTTATGCAGTCCAATCCCATTCCGACATGCAGGAATGCACAATCAAAGCACCCCTTACAGATGGCCATGAAACCGCTGCTTTAACCCCAAACCTTCCCCCTCCCCCCAGATTGAACTATTGGTCATCGTATTGTCGAAGGCTTTCATGGCTGGAATCACTAGGTTCTTGTAGGTTTTTCGGGCTATAGGGCCATGTTCTAGAGGCATTTCTCCTGACGTTTCGCCTGCATCTATGGCAAGCATCCTCAGAGGTAGTGAGGTCTGTTGGAAATAGGAAAATGGGTTTATATATCTGTGGAATGACTGGGGTGGGGCAAAGAGCTCTCTGCTGAAGCTAGGTGTGAATGTTTCAGCTGACCACCTTCATTAGCATTTGAAGGCTTGGCTGAGCCTGGGAAAATGTTCTGTTGAGAGGTGTTAAGATGTGCCTGGTTGTTTCCTCTCTGCTGTTTTGCTGTAGTAATTTTGAGTTTTTTAATACTGGTAGCCAGATTTTGTTCATTTTCATTGTCTCTTCCTTTCTGTTGAAATTGTCCACATGCTTGTGGATTTCAATGGCTTCTCTGTGTAGTCTGACATGGTGGTTGTTGGAGTGGTCCAGCATTTCTGTGTTCTCAAATAATATGCTGTGTCCAGGTTGGTTCATCAGGTGCTCTGCTATGGCTGACTTCTCTGGTTGAAGTAGTCTGCAGTGCCTTTCATGTTCCGTGATTCGTGTTTGGGCAATGCTGCGTTTGGTGGTCCCTATGTAGACTTGTCCACAGCTGGTCATCATAGCCCAGTATGGTTTATTTTGGTTAGAAGTGACTCTTTAGGATTTGATGTTGTTGTGCATTTCATAGAATCATAGAGTTGGAAGAGACCTCATGAGCCATCCAGTCCAACCCCTGCCAAGAAACACAAATATTGCATTCAAATCATCCCTGACAGATGGCCATCCAGCCTCTGTTTAAAAGCTTCCAAAGAAGGAGCCTCCACCACACTCTGGGGGCAGAGAGTTCCACTGCTGAACAGCTCTCACAGTCAGGAAGTTCTTCCTCATGTTCAGATGGAATCTCCTCTCTCTTGTAGTTTGAAGCCATTGTTCCGTGTCCTAGTCTCCAAGAAAGCAGAAAACAAGCTTGCTCCTTCCTCCCTGTGGCTTCCTCTCACATATTTATACATGGCTATCATATCTCCTCTCAGCCTTCTCTTCTTCAGGCTAAACATGCCTCCTCTGGAAATAGACCTAGAATCATAGAATCAAAGAGTTGGAAGAGACCTCATGGGCCATCCAGTCCAACCCCCTGCCAAGAAGCAGGAATGTTGCATTCAAATCACCCCTGACAGATGGCCATCCAGCCTCTGTTTAAAAGCTTCCAAAGAAGGAGCCTCCACCACACTCCGGGGCAGAGAGTTCCACTGCTGAACGGCTCTCACAATCAGGAAGTTCTTCCTCATGTTCAGATGGAATCTCCTCTCTTGTAGTTTGAAGCCATTGTTCCACGTCCTAGTCTCCAGGGAAGCAGAAAACAAGCTTGCTCCCTCCTCCCTGTGACCTCCTCTCACATATTTATACATGGCTATCATATCTCCTCTCAGCCTTCTCTTCTTCAGGCTAAACATGCCCAGCTCCTTAAGCCGCTTCTCATAGGGCTTGTTCTCCAGACCCTTGATCATTTTAGTCGCCCTCCAGCTTGTCAATATCTCTCTTCAGTTGTGGTGTCCAGAATTGGACACAGTATTCCAGGTGTGGTCTAACCAAGGCGGAATAGAGGGGTAGCATTACTTCCCTAGATCTAGACACTTTGCTCCTATTGATGCAGGCCAAAATCCCATCGGATTTTAACTTGGAATCATGGCGGAGCATTCCAAAGGTTAACACATCCATTATGAATTCAGAAAAAAACCCAGGTCTGGAGAAGTCCAGCAACAGCACCCAGGAAGATTGTCTGGCCTTTAGTTGCCTCGATCCTTAATAAATAAAATTTAATTATCTTTGACTTTATCCCCCCGCCATCTTATTTGGCCTCTCTGGGTTAATTCCGCATTTCTTCACAGAGTTGGCAGCGGCCGGGCCACATGGCCCACAGTCCTCCATGGCCCTCTGTGTCCCCAATGGCCCTCCACAGCCCCAGATCAGGGCCAACCCATAGCTTCATCTACTGGACAGCCCCTCTTGGACACCCCAAACCCAATTGCCACCTCTCAGCTGCTTTGGGAGCCCCAGCAGCGTCCCAAGCCACATTTCACCTCCTCTTTTCCCCTTTGTCATTCACTTCTATTGCAGCCATCCACAAATCTTTGCCTTTCCACTCTCTCCCCTATCAGATCGCCTATCCATAATCCCTTCTCCTGTGCCTTACTCCAAGTCTCACAATCCATGTGTCTTCACTAACCTCAGTGGAAATGAAAACCCATTAGTTTTCCCTCATTATCCGCAAATCCCTTTGTTAAGTCTATCCACTCATAGGATTCCCTCACTACCCATGAAGAGACAGAGGTCCTCCAGGTCAGTCTCTTGGCGGATCAGGGTATAGGGTAGCAACCTGTGCTCGACAGGGATACACTCCCCCTGAGGACACAGGTCCGTGATCTGGGGGTCCTTCTGGACTCAGCACTGACGCTTGATGCTCAGGTGTCAGCGGTGGCCAGGAGGGCCTTTGCGCAAGCTGTGACTGTACCTTGAGAAACCTCACTTGACTATGGTGGTCCACGCCTTAGTTACCTCAGATTGGATTACTGTAATGCACTCTACGTGGGGCTGCCTTTGAAAATGGCCCAGAAACTGCAGTTAGTGCAAAGGTGGACGGCCAGGTTGTTAACTGGAGCATATTACAGGGAACAGTCAACCCCCCTGTTCTGGCAGTTCCACTGGCTCCCGATAAGTTTCCGGTCACAATTCAAGGTGCGGGTTATCACCTATAAAGCCCTAAATGGTTCAGGACCTGCCTATCTTCACAATTGCATCTTCCCCTACAAACCTGCGCTATCTCTAAGATCATCTGGGGAGGCTCTCCTCTCCAGATTAATGGGTCCCCTGTATCCACGGCCTCCTTCTCTGACACAAGCACGGTTGATGGGGATGAGAGAGAGGGCCTTCTCGGTGGTGGCCCCCCAGCTCTGGAATTTTCTCTCCAGGGAGATTAGGCTGGAACCCACTCTGTCCATCTTTTGCAAAGATCTAAAAACGTGGATGTTCCACTGTGCTTTTGATTATACAGTTCCCCAGAAAATTTGGCTCCCAGCTATGACCCAAAATCCAGTCCCTGCACTTTACTACTATCTCCTGCCCAGAGACATAGTGTCCCACCTCATATTGCCCTCTATCCCCAATTTTTTGTCATCTGGCATTTGCACTTTGTTTGTCAGCCCTGTCCTCATAACTGGTTGCTTGCTGAACAGCTGAGTGGGAACGGAAATTTCAAAGGGTAACATTGTATAAAAATGACTACTTTGCACTGTACTGTTTTATATTGTGTTGTGCTGTTGTTTGTCTATTTTGTTTTATTAGGCTGCTTTATGAATTTCCATGTATCATATTTTAACATTATTGATCGGGCTCGCACCCATGTAAGCTGCCCTGAGACCCATCGGGGAGATGGAGGCAGGATACAAAAATAAAGTTATTATTATTATTATTATTATTATTATTATTATTGTTGTTGTTGTTGTTGTTGTTACTACTACTACTATCATGTCTACAAGAGAGGAGATTCCATCTGAACATTAGGAAGAACTTCCTGACTGTGAGAGCCGTTCAGCAGTGGAACTCTCTGCCCCGGAGCGTGGTGGAGGCTCCTTCTTTGGAAGCTTTTAAGCAGAGGCTGGATGGCCATTTGTCAGGGGTGATTTGAATGCAATATTCCTGCTTCTTGGCAGGGGGTTGGACTGGATGGCCCATGAGGTCTCTTCCAACTCTTTGATTCTATGATTCTATGTTTATCCCATGTTTGCCTTTATTCCACTTTTTCTTCCCTGTGGATGCCCAAGGTGGGATCGAATCCCCTTAGACATCCATTTGTCCCCCTGCGTATGTGCCCCCCACTCCCCGTGAGCCTTGGGTCTCCAGATTAATGGGTCCCCTGTATCCATGGGCTCCTTCTATGTATATGTGTTTAATTTTTTTATATTTTATACCTTGCCACCAACTCAGTCCTCTGGTGACTTTTTTGTCTACATTTTCCTGCCCTGAGGAGGCAAGCCAACTGTCTTCTTGGGCTAAATTTACATGAAACTGGATCCAATTACCCAGCATCTGTGACTCATAACTCCAGCTGTGCCAAGGACAACAGGATCCTAAGGTCCAGACCACCTGTCATTGGTGCATCTATTTAGACTTTCAAAGGCACTCATCACCTGGCATGGCAGTTCCCAAGGATGAGAAGGCCATGCCCCATTTTCCAACAATGATGTTTCCCCTTTCTCCAGCAACTGACAATTTAATCCTTTCAGGATGGACAATATTTTCTGCCTTGGACTCAGTGGGGATAGAGGGCAATATGAGGTGGGACAACAGTGCCAGAGGCATTGGACTCACTCAGATTGCCATCTTTTGTTACAATCAAGTTTCCTGGAACTGATTAGGTTCCATTGTTTGTCCCATAATGGGACCACATAATCCAATTAAGAGTCATTTCAGCACCCTTTGTTTACTGGACCACTGGCCCCTCTTCAGAGGGAAATCTACAATGGAGGTGTGGTGCGCTCTCCCATTGACTGGCGAGCACTGTGCTCCTTCCTCTGCAGAGAGACCTCCTTGATGTCATCAAGGCTT